ATATATATATATATTTATTTATATTAATATATATGTATATTAAGAATATAAAATTCGCGTTACGGATGAAAATGGTTTTAATTAATTGCTCTATATAATCACACGAACTTTCATCATCTCTGTCGTCTTCGTCAGGCTGCGGTTTGTGTGGTTCCGGATTTTTAGGATTGATAACCTCAGCGTCTTCTAGAATATCATCCGTTGACACGGAAGGATGAACAGTATTCTGTTGTATGTTACCGGACTCCACGTCACCCCGATGTTCTTTGCCGAAGTGCAATTGTGGTTGACTGTAAAGGGATTCATAACTTCCTTGTGCCTTTGGAACGGTAGTTGGGACAGGGTAAGCTTCTACGACAGCTCCTTTGTACTGCGGGAATTGCGGACTACCGTTGGCCGTCTGAATTGGCACAACGTGACCTTGGAAACTCGATAAAGGCGATAAAAACGGCGAAACTTTTCTCGATTGAAGAGCCGTGTTGAATTTTGGCGTCGCGCCAAAGTTAAATCCCAAGTCGTCGACCGCGTAGTTTGCGCTTACGAGAAACGGCTGGTTTTCGAAGACCGGTAAAACTCCAGAGAGATCCGGATTGCTCTGAAGTTGAATGATCGGGACGGAGATCTTCTTACCGTTCACGTCTACAGTGGCTTCGTCTTTCTGCTTCGTGCTCTGCGTCGTTTTGTCTGACGACAAAGTGGCGGTCGACATCATCGGAAAGCTCTGCGCGTAAACGTGAGGGTAGTCGGCAACTTTTGATAGAGGATAACTTGTTTTATAGAGTGGCACTTGTACCGCGGGAGACGAGGAGACGCTCGGAAAGCTTTGGGAGATAAGTTTATTAATGCTGGCGAACGACGGATATTCGAAGTCGGAGAAACCCGATAATTCGATCGGTTTGTCCTGATGGAATGCATTGTAGCTAGGCGAGTAGATACCTTGCAATTTCTGAATCGATGGCGACGCGATCGATTTCGGTGCATCCAGCGACTTCTCGTCGCTCGTCGTAGCTCTGTACGCGTTCGGATTATTCAATATGTCGAAGTACGGAGCGAGCGGGCTGTTCCGAAGAGATTCGGTCTGCTGAGTAGAAGCCGGAATGTAAGAGAGCGGCCGCTTTGGCACACTGCCATACGCATGAGAACCAGATCCGTGATTCAAATTGCCGTTAGAGACTGTCTGAGCGGCGGTCGATGTCGCGGCGCTTGTATAATAAGGCAATGATCTCGAGTTAATATCCTGAAGCGACGGAATTCTCGCTGTGGTATGAATTTCTTTGGATTCTTCCTGGTTATCATAGCCAGAGTCTACGACACGACGTTTCGATTTCGTAGACGTTATTGATGTAACGTAAGCTTTACTTGAAGTCGCGACGTTCGCAGATAAACATATTGCCGACAGGAAGAGAATAACGTTTATAATCTGAAACGTATTCAAACACACGCGATTGATTTTAGATATAACACACATTACGTGTAATAAAAACAATATTAATTAAAAAGATACAAATATCTTATTGCGCTTATTTTTATTTAGTTTGCATATGTAAATAATACTTTCTAAAATCTATATCTGCGTAAAATGTTATGCATTAAAGTACTTTTTTATGACTTAATACTTCATTAACAATATCTTAATCATAAAATGGAAATTAATGAAAGATAATGTCACACATATATAAAAAAAAAAAAACGTGTTGAGAAAAATATAATAACTTGACGCGAGTCACATTCTTGTGCAAACCACTGTCTTTGATATTGAGATACACACAAACAAAATCGACGTGCAATAAGTAAAACATTTGATTACTTGAAGTTATTAGGGAACTAAGGCAACGTACCAACATGATACTCTTCTAGTCGGTACAGACAGACACCAAAGTTTGACGATAACTGGCAGCGGCCACCATTCCCTCATCTTTTATATTCGACGTTTACTGATGCGAAACAATACAATAAGCATGACTTTTCTAAATCCGACAAAAAGCGCGTCGAGAAAAACCGCGTCAAATCACCTCGCTTCTCCCTGATCAGTGAAGCCGTGATTATAACGTGCCGTTGATCTGTCTTTTTATTAGTAATTTGTTTTTGCCTTATTTCTTTAAAATCTCTCTACTCTTAAAAGAATGTTAGTAGAAATATATAAAATATTTGTATATATATATATATATTTATATATATACTGTAAATAAATTTAAGAGAAAAAAATAATAGAATATTCTACAAAGTTACGTTGCTGCGTAATTATACACATTTTTCAAGTTATTGAATACTTAAGAGAGACATTCCAAGAGAGAATAATAAGTGTTTATTCACTAGAAAACTAATTATTTCTTTCGTCAAAATTACCAACTATTATTCCGAGAAAACTTGCGCGAGCACATTCATCAACAGTGAAAATTGGCAAGGTTCGTAAATTAGTTGAGTTCTCAAACTAATTTCTATCAAGTTTTCGGTTTATTTTTACGAGAAAGTGTGCGCGAAAACTAGTGCAAGACAAAAAATTTATGTTTATTATAGAATAATTAATACTTTTTTTAAAATAAAAGATTAGATAATCTTTATATATTTTTCCAATTTATTCAATTATACAATATTGCCAATACTTACCTCTTGCAAAATTCGTGCATTTTTCTTCTCAATGTAAAAAAAAGTTCGTCTGGTTTTCAGATCTACTTATTGTGTCCTTGGACACAAATAAAACGAAAGAGAAAATATTGACGAAAAAAAAAAGAGAATGGAGATAGAACACAAGGCGTCGCACAAACGCCGTGTAATTACGTGTGTATTTCTTGTTGTTTAAGTTAATATTTACATACATAACATGTATATTAGTTAGCGCATTTTACAGACGATCGATGAAAATTTCCTCTCTTTCCCGATTATTCCGTGCGAGCGCGTATATGATACTAACGATTTTAATTTTACGACTTCCGTATAAAATGTTGATTACTATAATTAAACACTCAGTGCGATTCGCGCAATCGATTCTGAGACGCGATACAACTTTTTATTTAATGCATAAAGCGGACGAGAAGAACCTCGTCCGCTTAACTTAGACGAGGTAAAACGTACTCGTCCGCCTATATAATTTGCAGTTCTTTCGCGAGCGGATTTACTAGTCACGCGCAAATCCGGCGAGTGGCATAAGCGTGATCGACGGCTCACTTGTACTTTTTGATTACGAATTTACGCGGCGTTATTTCCCGAATAAACTTTTCTGTTGGAGAACGAGTCGGACTGCAACGCCGCTTCTGATCTGTTGAAATAATCCCTTAGGGCTTCGTCGTAATAGTGCTGTTGCATCTGACGCTTCTCATTCTCGAAGAACTGCCTCACTTGATCCTTATCGCGGAAATAGTTTTGCGGACTTCTGTTTGGCAATTGTTTGTTCTTCATCAACAGCCCGAGGAGATTGTGTATTCTTGGATGATTAATGTCGTAATCTTTCTTATTCGACGTTTTGAGCTCTTTGAGAACATCGTTGAGAACCTCTGGCATCGATGTGGTGAACGTCGGATATGAATCAAAGGATTGATGCTTGGAATCGAAATTGAAGTTATCATGATCGAACGACGGTCTTTGATAATGCGATCCGTCCAGATGTACGTCTACGTTACTGGCGGACGTTTCTAATCTGTGCGGCGGCGGTCTTGTCGGTTTTCTCAAACCATTCTTGTACCTCGACGATCTTGGTCGTTTCTTTATCGGTTTTTCATGGAAGGGACTCTTTGTGCGGAAGGAATTCGGCCTCGGCGGTGAGAGAAATTCTTTCACGTGTCTGTTACTACCGAAATCATCGTGGAAGTCGAAGCTCGAATCTCCGGGCTTGGGTTTACGACTTGGTCTGTCGATGCCGTGGAAAATGTGTATCGGTCCCGCAGGTCGGGTCTTCAGCAGATGCTCTATGGTCGACAACAGCGGATCTTTCTTCTTGTCGTTCAAAGATTTGGGCGGATCGGTCGCATGCATCTTGGTCTCGCTCTGATGCGCCTCAAGAACGTCTTTGTATTTCGATTCTGTCAAAGAAGTTCTCAATTTCTGCAGCTCGAGCCTCAGCTTCGCTAGATCGTTTGTCTCGGAGTTGTTCTGACCGTTTTCCTGTGGTCGCCTGTCGTTGTTCCACTTCTGCGAGTTGTACATCGTCTTCAGGGATTCTTTAAACATCTCCTCGGCGTATTTCTGCAGATCCGAAGCTAATTTTGGTTTTGTAATCAATTCATTTTGCGCTGTGTAAGATGGTTTGAAGAAATTGCCACCGGGCATGACGGGTACCAAGTTCAAACCTTGCTGAACAGGTTCGCTGGCGGGTTTGTTATTGAGAGCGTTCTGATTTTTGATGATATCAACATTCGGAACAAAGTTGATTGGATTGAACATCGGTCGTTCCAGATTCTGCGACGGTTTTAGTTCTGCTGCACTTGGCTGCTTATTTTTGGCTCCTGTTTCTGTCAAAGAATCTATGTAATTGTGAAGAGTGACAGTCTGCGGAGTGACCGAACTCATAGTGCTAAAGATCGGAATTGGCGTTGTTAGCGTAGTCATTGGATAATTTATCGCCTTGAATGCGTTAGTTGTGTCGATTGAACTCGGTTTGATGTTCGGATTAACAATCTCCACGTTCCTCGTGCCTATATCCGGAAGATGCGCGTTTCCTGAAGATATCCCAAGTAAGTTCAGGTTGTTCACGGTGTTCGAGTGACTAGCCATGTTGTCAGCGGTCTGCACGCTGGGTAATCTACTGTTCTTCATCAGCTGTTTGTTCATTTGAATTTGCAGCTGTTGCATAGCGTCGTACTGCTGAGGTTGCTGATTCGCAAGCAGCTGTTGTTGATGAGTGTTCATAGCCATGCTATTTAAAGCCGCGCTGGGCTGCAACATCGTCGGTATCATCTGAGTCGCTTGAACGTAAGTATTTGTCTTTGGCGTCATATCGACGTCCTTGATCATCTGATACATGTGATTCTCTTGAGGCTTCATCACTTGCTGCGAATTTTGATTCTGTATGTAGTACGAATTTACATTGGTCGGATGCTTCTGTTCGTTCTGGCCTACAGTCATAGTCGCGGAAGTTACGAAGTTTGCGCTCGAATCGGAATACACATTTTCTTTGTTCTGCGACTCATGGGACATCAAGTTGGCTCTGCTCTCCGGCATCGTTTGGCCGGACATCAGCGTGGACGTTGGTAAACTTTGCACCTGCAAGTTACCGTGATTTATCAAGTTCTGACCCTGCAATCCGTGAGAATTCAATTGAATTTGATATTCAGAATTTGTCTGAAGAGGCGTTTGCAGATAATTTGGAAACGTCTGAATGGTTGGTTGCGGTACTATCAGCTGCTGCACTCCCGACTGCATCTGATTTATCGGCATCTGCTGGACGACGGATGTAGAACCGGGCGTCACGGCAAAAGTCGTACGCGGTGTAACGTTATTTTGAACTCGCACGTTGTGCAACGCTTGTGTCAGGCTCGGAGTAAAAGCGAATACGGGTGTCACGGTGCTCGGCAAATAGCCCGCTCTCAAGGAATCCCCGACTTTGTTCTGTTCGCTCGGCTGAGAAACCAGAACCGTGTGCACGGGATTTTGAAAGGTGTTCTGACCAACTATGACATCAGGTGGTACTGGTGTGGAAACTGCCAAATTCTTCGACAACGCTAAATTTTGAGCTAGAATAGACTGGTGATGTGAATTCAATAGAGGAGCGGCTGTGCTGAACGCTCCGATTGGCGCGGCTGTGACAAAATTGTGCAAGATCGCGTTGGACATATCGAAACCCTGGCTATTGTCCAGTGCGGTCGCGTGATCGAAATTCGCTAATGGTACCAAGTTGACCTTAACGGGAACAACGGAAAATTTCGGCTTTTCCAGCTGATCTAACACAATTCCGTTCGAGTGAGAGATCTCCAGAGTAGGAGAAATCTGACTCCATGTGTTGACAGTTTTCGGTCTGGATCCGTGATGCGCTTTGGAGCTCGTGTGTGTATAGCTATTTCTGTTGTCGTGTCTAATATCTTCAATACTGTCAATCTGATGATTTGTGACAGGATCGTTGATCCAAGGATTCGTCTTCACTCGGTATCGCGACGACTTCATTTTTGATGAGCTGTGCTTTTGCACTTTTTCTTCTTCAGAGCTGTTGTCAGACGCTGATGTTCCTCGATGTTCCTTAGGAAGATTTCTTGCAGAGTCAGAATACGACGGACGTCTTCGACTTTTCACTTTTGTTCGTGGTCGCTCGATGTACTCCGAGTAATCCGAACTCTCATCCGAACTCTTCGAGTCTTCTGTGCGATGGTAACTGCGCTGTCTGCTGTTGTCATTATAAGTCTCGTATTGACTCGACGTCTCCGCGCTTTCCGACGTTCCCGTCGGCTCCAAATTCCTCAAATTCTTGTAATCAGTATTCGAATTGCTGTTTTGCAGCTGGCTGCTGAACTTCGTCTTGTAGCTGTTCGGTTCAGCGACCACGACCGGTTTGAAAAATCTAGGATGCGTTCTCGACGGTTCCGCCGCGTTGTCGTAAGTTTCGCTATGCGTGAGTTCGTTGACTTCGTAATTCGTTATTGACGAAGACGACCCGGCATTCTGTCTGGTTGCGCTTTGATCGTTGTAGTTCGCGATATCTTGCAAACCACGATAATTGCCGTTAACTTTCTCCCGTTCGTAATTAGTTTTCTTCATGTCTTGCGCGTTGTTGTACGAATAATAATGAGCGTACGGATCTTCATCACGACTTGACGTCGACTGTCGACCATAATTGTGCACGTTGTAGTTCTCAATTCTCTTCTTCTTATCATTGCTCACATATCCCAAAGAAGAAGACGCGTCAGACTCGCTGTCGGTGCTGGGCAGATTCTCGTAGAAGTCCTGATAGTTGGCTACTGCGGGAGTGTCGTTGTTGACCTTGAGCAGCTCAAACTCATTCGTTCGGCCCTCCTGGAAATCGAAAGATCTGCGGTTCGTCAGCAATTCTGGGAAATTCAGGAAAATCCTCGCTTCCGAGGAGTACGCTAAGTCTTCCTCTAAATCTCTCGCCTTTGTGTCGGAGCTTGTGTCTTGAGCACTTACGGCATTCGTCGCGTTGCTTTCTTCAAACAGATTTAGATCCTTCTCGTTCAGATCGCTGACGTCACTCGACGATGACATGTCGGTATCGTCGTACGACGAAGAGACGGAAGGTATCATGGGCACGAATCCGTTAGAATTTTCATAATGTACTGTCGAGTGTACGGATGACGATACGCTTGAAGGTTCTTCAGACCTATTCGAATCCGCATTCGACTGTTTAACAACACGCGCCACGTTTTCCGACGCCGTTGCAAGTTGATCGAAGATCTCCTCATTCTTTAAGTCAGAACAATTCGCTTGTGGCCAGCTGAGTAATAACAATATCACCTACAAAAAATAAAAAAAAAAACTACTAAATTGAATTAATCAAACATTTATAATAAATGTATTTACACAAACAAAAACGTGTGCAAAAAAACACACAAAATATATCTACAACATTATAAAAATATTGAAATATTTTCTTGATTGAAGGAAAAGAATTTAAATTGTATTTTGCGCAGCGCTACTGCAAGTTTTGATAAAAAGAAAGCATTAAAAGCATTGCAAACTACGGATAGAATGCAATGATAAATGCTGTTTTGTCAAAGAGAGAGATGACCTAGAAAAGAAAAACAGACTGGAAAAGTAAAATGCGAGCGTGTGCAATAGAAATAAGAACTGGATGTGCACGGAAGCAAATCTTCATGGACTTTCTCACCGACTCATGAACATTTGAGTCTATTTGACAATAATGGTCCTTTATACAAATGTAATTGGGACTTTAATGATTGGCAACAAAAAAAATTTTCAACGCGTGGAGGTACAATTGCATTGTGATTGACTTGTAAAATGCAGAAACACGAGCAACATGTAATCGGTCTGCTTAGAGAGTGTCGGTGAAAAGTAATTGCGGAGAAAACAGAACCAATTTAAACTATATAATTCTTTATGCCTATCGTTAAACAAGTCGGTCGAAGTTGTCGATTGAAATGAATACCGTGCGCACATATGTCTTTACCTAGTTCGAAGCCGGTTTTGTCGATCGAATTTCGAAAGCGTTTAACTCTATCTGGGATGATACGCGCTCAAAAATTCTACCATAATTTATACTACAATTGTATGTGTGTGTGTGTATGTGTGTATGTGTGTGTTCAAATAATTCAACATCTGTTGTATTCTTTGCAATTAAAAGGAACTCGATCGTCTAATTGGAGCGTTTCTACAAGCAATAAAAAGCGGAGGAATAAAAAGCGCAATTTCTCCACTATGAATAATAGATATATAGCTTAGCGCAATGTAAACTTTATATAGCAATTTTTTTTTATAGAAGTAACATAAACAATTACATTTGTATAATATTATTTGTACGGAATTGCGAAATCAATTGTTTTTATGTAACAAAACGGATATCTGAGAAAAAATTAAGAATACTAATTACATCATTTTGTTATGCAAAATTTAAAAGTAAATAAAATAGTACGTGCTTTAATTTACACTTGTGTACATAGACTTGTGTGATATTAACTTTTAAAAGGTCGAGAGAGAGAGAGAAAGAGAAAGAGAAAGAGAGAGAGAGACAGCTATAATATATTTGCTCTGAATCTGCGATAACTTGATATAAGATGATAACTTTTTATATAAAACGTAGGGTATATATATTTACAAGTTTTGCGTATCAAACATACAAGATTTCAAGAAAAACATGCCGACACTCTAAAAGTTAATAAAAAGTATAAAAAATAATCTTTTTTATATTATATGTTTGATTTCCTATTTTTTTAATGTTACTTTATAAAAATATATGCATATTTTTTGACTTCATTTACGTTGCTTTTTACATTGTCTCTCAAAAAGACAATTCACTTAATTTGTAACATTTTTAAATATTATAATGTGTGTAATAGCATGCGTATTTTTTTTCTATTACTGATTTATGAAATTTTTTTAACGTAACAACTAAGATTTGTTTTATTTGCACAAGAATTGAAAAAAAAAACTAATTCTGTCACCACACATAGCGATAAGGAACTAATTTTGTCACCTTCACACTTTCACAAAGTACTTCAATCCGAGTACTTACACAGTAAAAAATCATTTTCGCTCAAAATCGCGAAATGCCGGCGTTTTCTTCAGTAATCGAACACAAATAAAAAAAATCTGTGCGTCACACCAATGCACCGCGTATACACATCGATTACGACCATCCGTTTCCGTATCCTCCGCCTGGTAATCTCTCAAGAATCCTGCGTGGTGAACTTCCACGCGAGAACTGAGCCACATAGTAGATACGCGATTTTCTTTATACAGTCTGGTGGCCAAGTGAAAAATATATCGTTCTAAATATTATCCTATAGACCACACGGTTGCGGAGGATACTTTCATTCGCGACACGCGAGCGCGCCCGAAGAAATTTTGTCCGACGTATCGCGACCGTTCATCAATTATCATAGAACGCGAGTAGCGAAATTGCCATGTACGGAAACAGAAAATACCACCGTTTTTTTTTTTTTATTGTTATGCACGTTCCACAAAACGCTAATTTCTAGTTGAAATTATCGTTGTCTACTTCGAGCCAATGCCATAAGAGATGCGAGCTGAGGCATCTCGTAAAAAAACGAAGCAAAATATCGCAATATCTGTAAAACGCTTTCGCAGAACAACATTTAATCTATGCAAGCAAACGGATATTGTCCCATTTCCGGTCCATGTGAGATTCTCTCGTTTTACATTACAATCGCATTGATGATCTTTATTTCCGGTGCTTCGCAGTCTCCGGTTGCTGTCTCCGCGTTATCGCGTATACCTCACCCGAAGACTTGACAGTACTTTATCCGCTGGTAGTTTTATGCGCTCTAGAACACACGCATTACGCCCAGCGCTCCTACTCCTCCTTGACGTGACTCGCGCCGCATGCAGCCGTGAAAACGTAAGGTGCACGTACGTGCGCAGCGAGCACGAGCCCGATCTTTTCCCTGCGTGCAGCTCCGTTATAGCCAAGCGTTCAGGATTAATGTCTTGCATCTAATTGCCGTGGATACATAGATATCATCGTTGTGAAAACGTGGAATTAACAATAACTACGGTGGGTTGAACATTTTTTTCGCGCGTCTGCCAAGATAATTAATGTTAATTGCCCCCCCGGTTCAACGGCACTGATCGTATCAATATATATCTCGAGATACGAGAACGCGATATCTTTCTTTATTAATTCGAATATTATACTTGTATTGCACATTGGCATTTCTAAACGAACGTTTATCGAATTAAACGCGTAATTACGCACAAGAGCATTGCTTATGCGTGCAGTGTTCGTAGATCGATTATCATTTCTATTAAAACTTTTACTCATACATACATGGTATATATCTTTATTTTTTATCGTATATCGCGTATCTTATACGTGTATATCGTACGATTATTGGGAAAAGTTGAAAAGTGCGTTTTGTAGATGATATTATTTTTCAACCAAGATGTGATGAATTGACCAACTTTTTTTCAGTAATTAAGTGATAATACGCAGGTGTATATGCTTCTTAGCTTGCAACTAAATTTATTTCACAGAATATAATATATTATCATACATGTCAAAGAACAAAATTTATATCGATAGAGTATTGTTAAGAATCTTACGAACTAGTGTATTGTAATAAATATTGTTTTTAAAAGACAAAAGAATACAGGGAAAAAATGCACGTGTTTTAAAAGTAGCGGATTTATATAGAAATTTCAGGTACAAATAATTGAACAAGTAATTTTTATAAAAACGTGGTCCTTATTAACTTATTTTATTGATTTACGACAATGCATTATACATGATTATCTTAAAATCTCATATATATGTATATATAATATATATATATATATATATAAACCTTAACTATTATTATTAATAAGGTACCTTTCTGAAGTATGAAATTTGGCTGATTTTTCGTAATTATGCGTTCGCGCAAAGCAACAAGTGCGCTTTGGTTACTACTGTTTTCCCGAGAACACAGCAAAACTGATCAATATAACAGAACTCTGCGAGATCTCAGTAAATCAGTAGCGCAGGTACACATTAAATTACGTTACATTGCACAATCCCATATTAAAAATACCACATTTAAATACTATCACTATCGTCCGATTATCGATTGTTATCTTTCTTCGCAAATTATTTCATGGCACGAAACGTCTCATTCGTGAGAGATCAAAGTAATAATGTGCCAAATAATATATTAAAATTATTACACAGTTTAAAATATAAAAATTATACATAATGTAAAATTATTCTTCTATTGTCCTAGGCTTGATATATCCTTGCCGGTCGAGCCAATGTCGTGTCGTTCGATCAGTCGTTTCACCTTAACTTCCGTATTTTATCAGTCTATCAGTCAATTACACACGCAAAACAAAAACGATATTTAATTTCTATATATCATAAAAAAACAAAAGAAAACAATAAGACACGGAAGTTAAGTATATCTTTGTGATATTTTTATCGTTAATATAGAACTTAATTTTTAATCCTGTAATTCGGGAATCGAGGATCCTCAAGAATTTGCACGCTCTTGACTTTCGGCCGAGTTGACGTGCGCTCGCCGTATTTTCCGCTCAAGCGATTTTTTTCCGCTTCCAAATTGCTCGTTTCATAACTTGTTTTGCCCAAGTACGCTTCTGTAGGATTGCCGAGTAGATCTTGACCATCGCTATTTTGTGCCAGTCGCGCTAGTTCCCGCAGACTCGTCGAGAACGAATGCTGATCCTTGGGAATATCATCATTACCGAGATCATAGGTGGACGGTCGCGCCAATTCCTCAATGCTTCTGGCATATTGAACGAGATACTGCTGCAAGAGAGCTTTCAGATTCACGTTTGGAGCGGCTTTAGGTTGAATAGGCGGCACACCGTCCACTCTCAGAATAATTACGGGTATCAGAGAGCTTCCCGCTTGCACGAAAGTTGGTCGCACATTCAGGATGGATGCAGGATTTTTTATATATTGCGAAATCGACGGATTATAATTCAATAAATCGGCGTATTGCAAATTCGTGTAGTTTTCCAGATTCTTGTTGTCCACGTTGGTCTTTTTGGCCGAATATTTGTTACCTGAAAATACAAAAACATCTCGAGATAACTCGTCTTCTCGATTTATGTACATCTATATCACATTTGACTAAAATAGCGCGTATAATTTGAAAAATTAATTAACAAAATCATGTACAAAATAAAAAACCAGCTTACCTGATGCAAAGAAAGGATTGGATGGCGTGGTGTCCCTCAAAGTACTCTCTGTTGTATAAGGTAAATACTCCGGATTTGGACTGTTCACCATATATTTTGAAACTGGTCGTCGCGATACTGTCTCGTATAGAATTTTTTGACTCTTTTCGTTCGGTTTAAAAGAATTTCTCGTCGAGGAAGGAGTTGTTGAAGAAGCCGAATACAAGGACGAAATTCCACTGCCGGATTTGACTTGCTGCGGAATAATCTGCTTCTGATTCAAAAGATTTTGATATCTCAGTCGATACACTTGCTGCTGCGGCAGACTCGAGAGAGTCTCAGCCGAGATAAACGAGTTTGGTTGGGAGGGTGCGCTGGGTTCCGGCGACATAGGAAACTGAACCGGTCCTTGCTGAGATTGCGCATTGTTTTCTGTGGATGTGGATTCGTAGATTTGAGTTTCCTGAGATTTAGCGGCCTGTGGATACGAATATGTCTCGTACGTCATGGGCGGCACGTCAGACACCTTGCCGTTTGGATATTTCCAGAATATTTTGTTTTCATATCGGACGCCGTTCTCCACCGTGTATCTCGGCAAATTAGCAAACTGTTCGCCATGTTCCGCGTAACTAGACGCATCGTCCGTTCCTGAAGTCGATGACGCTGCTACGTTGGAACCCGATCGAACGTAATCGTGATGGTTTATTCCTCTCGATGGGATGCCAATACTTTCTAGAAAAGCGGCGGTTTCAAGAGAATTCGGTGTAGAAGAAGACTTCACCGCGTTTTGCGTTGCTCTGGAGTAGTCTTGCACATTTATTGCGTGTTGACTGCTCTGTCCTAAATATCTCTGAGAATGCTCTTCTCCAGTGTAGGACAGTGGGTTTGATGTAACATAAGTATATCGATTAGAACCGGAGGTTGTGTAACTTTGTGGGCTCGGAGTGACGTGAGCTGTTGAGTCTGTGTGACCGAACGTTAAAGACTGAGGTGTGGTGGACGCGTACACGTTCTCTCGGTCTTCATTCGAATAGGCGTCAACGGAAGGTCCTACGATTGGAACAAATCCTTGGTAAGTCTCAGAATCAGATGTCTTCGTTAACTTCGTTCGCAAACCGAATACCGGGGATTTAGGCTGATTCGCGGGACGATAAAATTGGTAGCTCGCAGGAAAGTTCAATCCAGCTGAGCTGTCAAGTCTATATCCCTGCTGTCTCACATTCGCAAATGAACTGGAGACAGGTTTCTGACGATTGCTCGATGATACTTTTTCGATGATAGTTCTCGGAAGGAACGGACTGATGGATTCCTCTATGCTCACGGTTGTTCCGGTTTTCCCGGCTGGGAAGTAGTAATTATATTTTCGCGGCGAATGCAAAGAGTTTCGATCGAACCCATAGCCGAGTCCATTGTTCACCGTGCGTTTCGACTTCTCATCGCCTGTTGTATTGTCATCGTTCGTGTCGTTATCAAAATCAAGAAGTATTATCGGTGGTAAGATCGGCAGCATTTCCTCGATGCCGTCTTGCGCTTCTCTCTCGCTCTTGACGTCCGCTTTTGGCATATCATCAACATTGTCCGCAACATTACGCCCAACGGTACTGGAGTCGTTCACCTTGATCTCTCTGCTTCCGGTGGTTTCCGCGTTGCAGAGTCCGAGCACCAGTAAGAACGCGGCAATCTGAAAGTCAGGGGCAAGTATATAAGAAATCGCTCCGCGCAACGACGTGTGTAACAACAATGTGGTGGTCATCGATGTCGATGCGCCGGTAATGGCGATCTTACTTTCACTTCCCTACCACGTTCGCGCGGCGAGTGTGATGCGGTCGTTTTGCGTATGTAAAGAAACTCCAAGTGAATTTTCTCATAATGAAGACGAGTCTCGAAAGATGCATCGGTCTAAGAATAATGTTCATGTTGCTTCTCGAATGTCATTCGAGTGATAATTTGATTAAAATACATAGTTGAAAATAAAAAAAAAATATATAATTACAATCGAAATCGCAGCTAGAAAGACGGGAAACGTGTTTTCTTAGGGTCAGAGTCAAGTGTGTCGGTCAACAACGCTGAAACAGGTTTCATTTGCCGCGCACTTGCGATTTTCACCGCTTTCTTTGAACGTCCATATCGCGGTCCGTGCAGACGACGATACGTATAAAACATTGCTTTCCGCTCGAACGACAAAAGTATAAATAAGCGTATAAACGTGATCGATAAACGTTTTTAAGTAAAACCTGATTATTAAAATGTCAATCAGATCGACTATTTGAACATGTCAGTGAAAAAACTTGACGATACACTAGAGAGATTTCTAGAAATAACTCGGTGTGGTGCAATCGCTAAGATGCACCAAATTTCACGTCGTTAATTTCGATCTCGCGACATTCGTTACGTCGACGCGTTACCTAATAACGAAAAGCAAAGACGGAGCTTCGCAATAACCAATCGGAAGAGATGAGGTGCGTGGCTCATCCGCGAGCACTTTCACTGACTTATTCAAGAGCATCTGCCGTGGTTACTTTATGGTCACCTTTTCGTTCGAAACCATAGTAGGAGAAAAAATCCGAAACACTTTCACCGCAATTATGTCCAGGATTGAGTCCAGGAAACGATCGTCAGCAATTGAGAGAAAAAAAAAAAAAAAGAATTTGTTGGGTGACGAAAAATGACAGCGTACACGAATACACCTGACGCGTACGAGCGTTTTCGATAAAATATTTCCCGTGGATTTTCGGCATTAAAGCTTCAATCGGTAGGATTAAATTTATGTAGAACACCTGCAGCCGAGGGTCTGCGCGATCAATTCTGCCAATAACGTGTTATATCCACACCGGCATTAATGCGCCATCGTTAGCTTTTCAGTTATATTGTAAACGTGTGTTAGTAACATTCATTGCAGCGAATAGTGCACAGTGTTTTGTTTATAACAATACGACGAATTTTACAAATTTATAAAATATTAAAATAAAGTGTGTTTACATTTTTTAAATACGTATAAAAATATCTCACGATAATAAAAGCTACGTATCCATCTATCATACGTACTTTTTTCTCTCTCTATGCGATAAAATATCAATAAACTTTATTTATTTTAAATAATAATAAAGTAGATATTACTTTTTTTAAACTGAAAGATTATCAAGACATCAGAGATAACAAATTTTAATCAAGATATCATAATTTAATCAATAATAATACATCTTACAGCTTTATTATAGTTATAAAAATAATTATAGGTAATTTATTAATGAGTATATTATTTTTAAAAAGGTAAATAACATTAAAATTCTTTTGACAATTTTTAACACAGAAGAAATTACATATCACAATATGAAATAAATTTTTAATTATATTTAATTATATTATATTTGATTAATTATATTTTTGATTTATATATTTGAAGAAAAAACGCATAGAGGCAATGTAAAAAAAGAACATTCTTGATAAGCACACCAAGCACCCCAGAGACACCACAGAAATAATTTTAATTTAAATACTTACATGGATTTTATTAAGACTCATGACGGCCGACCTTAAACCTGCTGGCTTGGTAGACTTGTCGTGTGTGTTTGATACTGATGAAGCTGAAGCCAGAACATCCCACCTTATATGCCCTCGCTCCTGGTGTGAGAAGGACACAATCATTATAGTTTCACCACAGCGAGACGGACGCTATTCGCGTTCGATACGGGAAGACACCTGCCAGTAGCGTAGCGACGTCTGACAGATCGACGCATTGATCGCGCGAGCTTTCTTGTATTACGCAAATGAGCATACATGTATATCACGCCATAATTCACGCAAACGGAAACTTTCGGATCTACATACATGTCACAGGCGGATTATTCATTGACTCTCATTACCAAACCGCCAATTTAGAAACGTAATTTTACGTAAAATAGAATTCTCTTTCCCTCGCTTTTTTCTCTCAGTAATTGCTACAGAATTACGCGCGTTACTCTTCACAAAAAGAAAATTATCATAAATTTAAAATCGTACACGAAATATCAATTCAATGTGTATTTCATTTTAGTTGAATGTATCACAGAACGTCTGTATATGGAAAAAGAATCAAGCAAATTATACATTTGTATAAAAAAGAAAGCATTTCGCATAATAATGCGGTTAATGACAAAGCTGCAAAGAGGAGGCAATCAGAATTTCAAATGGTTAATTTCGTGTGCCTACACCGTTGGGCTCATCTTCGTGGCATCAGCTTTCTCGAACTCTTCGATGATATACCAGCATTCACTTTAAATACTTATGCTCGTTGATATCACACATACTTTGCACATGATTTCCTGATAGACGTGTTAACACATCTGTCTTTCAATAGAAATCAATATAAATTGTCAGCGCTAATTGAAGATTTGACACGAGGTGCCAAATGTGTTTAATGTCAAAAATTGATGTTGATAAATTCAAAGATTAAAAAAATGTATAAGAGAAGTTATGAAAAATATATAAATACTTAAAACTATTCTTACGCGATTTTTTTGCATTTTTATGTTGTAAAATATAAGTAATGAAAAAAACTATGTATGTATATATAATAGAACAAAAAATATATTGGTTCTTATTTTATTTCTTTCCCGTCGAAATTCGGGAATTTCACGGTAAAGCAAACGTTTTTACCGTTGCCGGTTGAGAACCGGATAATTCCCTGCACAAGTGTTCGACTGCTTTGTCATGCAGCTTTCTTTTTATTGATATTATATATTTATATAAATTATACTACTACGAATAACTAGATATTCATACCTCTGTGTGTTCCGACTAAAAAGAGTATTATTTTTTTTAATTGTTATTTTTATGTATAATTTATTATTTATCTTGCCAACAAACTCAATGTTATTTTTGACTCATAGATTTTTTTTATTAAGATCACGCTCGCTGGAAAAAGTTAAATAAAAAAAAAATATAAATATTAAAAATAATAAATTATAAAAAGAGTTAGTTAAGTATTTTAAAATAAAATGAAACAATAATATAAACACACACACACACAAATGTGTCAGAGAGACAGGAAAAGTTTCTTGGAATAAATAAAAACAATTTGTATTTTATTTTACATTTTATTGAAAACTCATAAACAATGTTTTACGCCGTTTTCAAATCATATCTCTACAAATATAAACGAAATGTATAAAAAGTTCGCATAATGTTCGATGAATAGACTAGATGCGATGATGCTGTCGATCTGTATTGGGACAGCAAATGTACAATGTCGCGTTCACGTGTGTCTCGGTTGTTGTAATCGCTAGTAATTAAGTTTTCACGCTTTACTGACATTTGTTAATTATTGTCATGACACTCACGGCGATTCTTCTCACTCGGACTTAAACTTCTTAAGTACGAAATTTACTTTTGACGGGAGAAAACCTCCTTCCAGTTTTATTGGCCTTTCTCTGTATCTGTAACGACAGTCATAACAAGTAATTATAGCGCATAATAAGATACTTCATCATTACTCTCACTACCATACCTTGCGCTATCCTGCGCAACGATGACATTGCTTGGAATGTACGAATCAAGTAACGATCTTGGTCCCTGGGTCAAGGAATAATCTTGCACTGGCAACTGTTGTTCTTCTTCAGAGTAAACAGGCTCTAGTTGTGTAACATCGGATTTGAAATTTTGCGGCGGCAACTGTGGCGGCACAAAGTGACTTTTAGGCTCCTCAGGCGCCTATTCAAAACAATAGAAAACGTCAGAATTTCTGTATTATTTTAAAAATAAAATAAACTTAAATAAAAATAGTATAAAAAATGTTTTTTACATTTTAATATGATAGATTTTAGTAGACGAGATGTAGAAAACAAGTGATGCAAATAAAGTATGTGAATATATTTTATTAAAAAATGTAAAGAGAATATATTTAAATGTTTTTTTATATTTTAAGAGAATGTAATGTGTATGATTATTAACAAAAGTTCTAAAAATTACTAAAAGTAGGTGTTTTAGACAAAAAGCAAGATATTGATTTGTTAAAATTAAATTAGTTTCCAGTAAGCACATAGAGCGGAATACGGTCACGCAGCAAAGAAGAGAGCTAATTAAACTATGCTAATTAGTTAGCAATGTCGCTCCGTTAACGATGTTACTCGTAATTTAAATCTCCAATTATAATCATGACACTTAAAAGCGTCGGTTATGCAAACTTGTCATTTCCATTACAAAACTTGACGTTTTTGATAAATGTAACACAGTCACGCGAGCCATAAATCGCATCTCAAAATGTCAATTATGGCAAACGTACTTTAATCACACAAGTACCATTTATCGTTGCATACCTTGACATAATTCTGTTGAATATCCTGGCTAACTTGCTCCTGCGGGACTTCCTTCGGCGCTTCACTCGCAACCGTCGGTGTCACGTACAATTGTTGCTCGGTTTGATATTGATTTACCTGTCCGCGAATCGAATTATCTTGAATGTACGCTGGTAGGCGAGTATAAAAATCGCTGTAAGCGGTGGTGGGATCGGTGTAAATTATGCCAGGCTGAGTGTAAACTAACTGCTGCACATATTGCGAAGCTTGCGGTTGGATGTAAGTTTGCTTGTGCAGCAGCGTCTTTCCTTGAGCAATCGGTTGTTGAGGTTGAACATACACCGGTGTCGTTAGTATAGAAGGAGAATTGAGCGTCTTTGATGTTACTGGAAGTGTGTACGCCGCTCCTTTAGTCACCTAAAAAACAATTATATATAAGATATAAGTAATCTCTTTCATTTACAATCAATATTGTAAATTTTTCAATAATCTAAAATCTATTTAGAAAAATAATATATAATATTGTAAATTTTTTAATAATCTAAAATCTATTTAGAAAAATAATATTGTTTTATACAATGTCAAGAATCTTTTAATTTTCTTAATAACAATATCGTATTATTCTGTTTACTTTAATTATTATTAGATAAAAACACATAAATATGTAATTGTAAAGTTTTGAAGTATAGAGCAATTTAAAGTTTTAATTTTTTGCGTGATAAGAATTTTAATTAAACGTACCTTGGTCGTGTATGTTGCTGGCGTAACTGTGGGATACGGTATTTTTACAGATGAAATTAATTGCTTCTGATTGTACGCAGGAGTATACACGGGTATGGAAATTTGTTGCACCGTATTGCCGGCTAATGGCTGCTGCGCTAGTCCGATACCTCTTAGAGACAGTAAAGAATTAATATCCACTTGAGGATAGTAAGAAAACAACTGAGTAGTCGGAATATTAAAGTAAACAGGTTCTGAAAATAAGAAAGTGTATTAAAATTTCATGGCGTTCACTTTCAGTGATTAATTAGTAAACCAAATTTCGGATTCCTCACCTCGATTTAAAGTTTTTGTGTATTTTTCCGTGACTGCTTTCTGTTGAACACTTTGAATGTGATTGCCGACGGTTACTTCCGGTTGATAATTCAATTTCTGGGATTCAAAGCTAATGGGAGCAACACTTTTCGTTGGTATTTCTGATTGCTGTTGATATCCGTCATATTGTTGCAACGGCGCAACATTTGTGTGTACATCAGGTGTAATCTGACCGAATTGCTTATACTGCATTTCATATATAGCGTATTGGTTAGGTTGAATATAACTTTCAGGTGATACTTGCTAACAATATGTAAGAAAAAATATAACAAATGAAGATTTTAATAAGAAAACAAATAATAATTTAATACATGTTAAAGTTTTAATCTTACGCTATATTTTACATCCTGAAGTTGTTGAGAAGGGATGTATGATTCGGAATGACCGCCCAAGGTATTATATTGGGTCGATATTTGATATTGTTGCTGCTGATTAATGTTGGGTTTAACGGCGTACTTCGTTTCATCAGTCTGGATGTTCTCGATTTTAACTTTTTTCTCCGATCTTAGATTATCTTTTTCGATATCTTCCAAATTGATTTTCTTCTCGGCACATACAGCCACTACCAGCAGACCCAATATTAAATAGACCTTCTGTAACCGAAAGAGAAAGTTAAAATTGCAATTAGTTCATTATTGCATCTTCTTTCTCTTTTTGCTTTCGACTAATTATATGTAAACTTGTTCATATGTTTTAATTCATTTGGTAAAAACAAAGTAAATTTAAAATATATTTGTGTGATAGAAATATATATTATGTTACATAACGCGAGAGATATAAAAATCAGGTGTTATAAAGACAAATTTGTTTTTGTATATATGTTTAATGAAATGCGATCGATTTATTCATATGTAAAATGATCCTCGATCGATATTGGCCAATTATATTTTTCACCATTATTGTTTCCGGCAAAAATATATTTACACCGGGCACACTTTCACTGCACGCGAAGTTCTGGGTCAGACATCCGCAATGGACCACTCTTATATAGATTGTACCTTCCCCGGACGGGGCGGGCCACTTCCCCCGAACAAGTATATCACACCACACGCACGCAGCTTCACATCTTTCTCTTTTTATTACTCCTAAATGAATTTTTACGCACATTATGTATCCGACAGAGATTGCGCATAAATACGCGTGCAAATAGGTATTTAAACTCTAGTCTTTTCATAATTTATATGAATGGAAATACAAAAGAAGAGAATACTTCTTTTATAAATAGAAATATTTTCAATAGAAGAGTTTTTACATCTCTCGGAAATATATTTCTCGAGAGAAAGTTTTTTTTGCACAAAACTGTATTAAATTGTATATTATGTGCACAATATAATTCTGTTATGAAATATCTTTTTTTTTTTTTTCTATCGAGGCGAAATTATGAATTCGTTCGGTATTGATTATATAATCTGCGGTGTCTCGGTAAAAAAAAGTATTATATTAAAATAAAATAGAAAAACCTCTGAGGAGAGAAGACATACTTACCATGGTTTTTTGTAAATATATCAATAAACACCGGTATACGATATAAAAGACTTAGTTGTACTATAAAATCGAGGCGGACGTACATTATCTTATATAGCTTTTACCCCTACTTCATTGCATTCCCTGCTGAGCTACACTTCACTTCTCGATTAAAGCGTGTGAGATGATCCGTGTAGACTGTGGGTCACGTTCGTAAATAAATATTATCAGCGACACGAGTAAAAGTAAGAATATTATTCGATAAATTACTTCCTCGTCATCTCAGATAGGCGTGTATACGCAACTGGATCGCATTTCGGAGAAAGAAAAAGTTTCACCAGAGTGTCTATATCTGTAACACAATGTAATAATATCTATAACACAATGAAGCAATTTAAAAAATAATTTTGATTCAAATTGAGATAATTAATGTAACGCGTATATATAATTATTTTTTAAAATGACAATGTACGTGTCATTAAATTACTTTTTTGTAATGCACAAAAGAATTATTATTAATGTATTAAAACGTCAAAAATTGTGGAGATAGATAAATCTGGATAATAGAGATGAGAGGAAACGTTGCTTTACACTCGGGACGTTTCATTTTGCATCCATCAAACAGAGAGCGTAGAACTAATCTTTCCGTAGAACATGGTATCCCCCCGTCGTTAGAGCGAAATTGACGAGAGGGAAAAATCGATTATTAAATCGCGCTCTCCTGGGAATGTGATGCATCGTCGAAAAGATCAATTCAGAAACGAGGTACACGTACTTAATCATTATCGTGCTTCCATATACGTTATTCGTGCAATCACGCGGCAGGTGGCGATCCGCTCCGATTGCATTTGTACGTGACGCGGAGTTAAAATGCATTAAAGTGCCCGGCGTAGTAGCACTATCGGCGCTCGTAATCTCCGCGTAAATCGTTCCTAGGTTTTTTCCGTCGCTATAAAATCGCGCGATAATTATCGCGCGCCTGATTATTCAGTTCATTAAATTGCTAATTGGCCGAGTCGGTACAATTTTCAGCTTTGTGTTTGTTACAAGTACAATTGCAATAAAATGTAAAAAAACAAGTCGAAGAGAGAATACGAAGTTGCTGAATTATATCTATATGTACATATTATAAAATTTGTGTTTTAGTTTCACACAATGAAATGACTAAGTGTATATGTTCATTTAAAACAAAACTCCGATATTATCTAACGTTTATTAAATCAGATTGTGCATGATAATGAGAAACAAATGTCGACATCGGACGTCTTTTCCGAACAATGGAGAGAATGATCGACATGGTCTCGCAGGAAATAGCGACTTCCGATTATTGAACGATATAATAGCATACGCACTTGTGGAAATGCAGATTATTCTCACCGCTGCGTGTCTAATAGTCGCACGCGGGATTGAGCTGCGAGATCTGGACACGCAATCTCATTATCTGATTCAGTATAGCGGTAATGTACATATATATCTTCTCGGTATTCATTTCAAGCTAATATATCCGATAAGTCTTCGAAAATCAATATTGCTTGTATTTGTGTTAACTGATATATATATATATATATATATTTGTAATCAATTTAATAAGCTTATAGAAAAATAATACGTTTGCACATTGCTTTTCTTGTTGTTTGTCAAATTAACATTATCTAACACGAATCATTTTTGTGTCTGGCAATGTAATTGGTGAAAGCGATCGCGACCACAATTCAATTGGTTTATGTTACAAGACGGTGTAAATGATCGCATTGTTCATCTGATCGAAGGTGAGCGGTTAACCGACAAGTTATCCAAGACAAATTATCGCAATGATCGTCTGGTAAAGTGTTCCTGAAAAATCATAAATGGAAAGCCTTCATATCTTCATTCCGTCACAGACAATGGATAAAAGAGCTGGGTTGGTGGAACGACAAGCAAAGAGGGAGGAAAGCAGCTTTTCTTACACAGACATTCCTGGCAAAAATGGGTGAGCGATGCAGTCGGGAATCGCGGAAGGGAAAGGATGGAAAGGAGATCTCGTAATGACTCGCTCGATCTCTTTGTTGAACCTCTCCTTTCCTCTTTCTCTCTCTCTCTCTCTCTCTCGCGTGGACGAGAGCTCAAAGCGTTCCACTATCGAGTCTTGCAAAGGCGGACCCTTTCCTCGGACATTCCCAGGAATATTCCACCTGCCAAAGCGGAAGAGCAGGAGGAAGAGGAAGAGGAGAAAGAGAGGATGACCAGATCGGACTTTCTACGTCAACTATAGGTGTGGATGGTCAACGGCTTTATATACTGATCGCGTGTCGCTCCGTTAAACGATCGCCGGCGATGCTGCACTAATTAATGGCAATTAAGTTTAAAACTTTCTCGGTGCATGTCCCTTTAGCAAAAAAAAAAAAAAGCAATGAAAAAAAGCAAAGAACCTTGAAAGCAAATTAGATCGACGTGAGCGTTCGAGCGATCAGGAAGCGACAAAAAATGTAAATAAAATGTAGATATTCGACCTTTCGAGCTAATCGCTTTCTCAAGTTTGATCGTCTGATTTACTTAAACAAATTTGCCTCTCGCCGCAGATTACCAAATTTTTTTTATGCTTACCAAGTCAGTGGATCGCTTTCGAAACACGTCCGATCTGTTATACGATCGTAATTCCTCGTCGTCATTTGCATACGTTTCTCTTGAAAAAATTCGACTAAGCTTCGCAGAAAATGACACAAGTGAAAAAAAACGCGACATTTCTTGTTTAGTATCTTGTTTTTGATTTACAGATACCCTGCATTTAATTATCGCGTTACATCCAAAACTATCTTGAGTTGCCTAAAATTTGTAGAGTAGAAAGTGAAAAGACTTTCTTTCTTTTTTGATGTAGAACAAATCCGATTATCAATAATAAATATACCTAATGCTTTATTTATTATTTTTAATTATCATATTTAAAGTTGTTTGTAAACAACATGACATTAGTTTGCAACAATAAAAACAATATGATTTAAAAATAATATTAGAACAAAAATAATTATTTTACCACAAAAAAAATAGAGCACACTTTGATGCATTTACAGAAAGCTAACATTTCACCAGAAATAGAGCACATTTTGTTAGATTTGAAGAAACAGAGAAAGAAAATTAAACAGCAGAACATAATTGCAGGAGAACGTCAAAGAAAGAGCAGTTTTCTCACGTATTTTCTACATAAATTAATGTGAGTTCTACAATCTTTTTTTTTTTTTTTTTTGAGAACAACGTTGTCTTAGCGTTAGACGCACAAATAACTTTTGTTGATCGACACAACGAGTAACGGTTCAAAAAATAAAGAAAAAATAATACATCGGTTGGAATAACAAATATTGTAAAAACAAGCTTTCTAGTGCCGTGGCCGAAAACGGTACTCTTGTTACGCGCAGAATTTCTATTAACCAGAAGTTAATGCGCTTCTAATTTTCACCGGATATGTTACCGATCGAGAGACCACAGCGCGCTGCGAGAAAGTAACAGGTTTGGTCCATCCGATTTTATTTTAGATCATCAGCAGAGAATGCACAGAAATAAAGTAAAATAGCGCTGCTGACGCTGCTCTCACTTACTTTGCTACGACGTAAATACATGTGGATCAGCATTAGCAATGTTTGCACGTTCAAATTTACATAATGTCAAATATACTTGGACCGTCTATAAAATCAGAAATTATAGAATAAAATTATATATAAAAAAGTATTATATATAAAAACTTTTAAATTATAAATAAATCCATAGTTAAATAAAAAATAAGAATTTAAATTGAGTTTTTACAAAATTATCTTATATTCTTACACAAAATATTACACAAATATAAATAATTATTTATTAAATATTATTTATAAAATTCTAAAAAAAGCAGTTTGTGAATATTTCTTATTTTCTTCGCTATCTTCCAACGCACTTGATTAAAATAAACCGATAAACCGATTGTAGAACTTCCCTCTTCCACCACGGCCAACGCCTCGATCGAACAATCAACCGGACGTTGCCACGATCCCGGATTCCTTCCGGTATCATGAGTACAACTCTCTCGCATGATTTCACATTCACATTCAAACATCATAGGAGAAGCGACTAAATTTTTGAAAACTCACTTAAAGCTTGGCTAAGACGTCTTTAAGCGGGTGACACGTAGGAAGACCATAATAGGATTAATTAGCGAGTACAGGATTAATTAGCGAAGACGACAGATTCATCGTCGGCAGAGAAATGCGACGCGTCAGATGATCTTGTAAAGTTTTAAGATAAAATCACATTGTAGTCTGTCTCTAATTTACGTCGGTTTCTTGAAACATTCACTTTCCAAGAAAATATCTACAATTTCAACGCAGAGAAAATATTATATTTTTTCTATCCAGTTTGTTTTGAAGCATAAGCATATAATTTTTGATAATATATAAATATTTATTTATTTATGTGTTTATATGTGCGTGTTTATACAAGATTTTGTAAAAATTTCCACGCACGTTGTTAAATGTTTTGAAATAAAGTTCGCGCGCACAAATTAATTATTCAACGCATAAAACGGATTAACGATACGGCTAATTCCCGAAGCAGCTTTGTCTGTGCAAAGTTTCCGCATCTTAATCCGCTAGATTTTCATGTAAATTGCAATTTGCGATGACACGCGTGTAATTACGTCTAGAGAGAAACATGACAGAAAAAAAAAAACCAGGAACCCGTCGCTCATCGAACGAAAGTAAAGTACGAAGATAAACACAAAAGGGAAACCGGTTCGCGTGCATTTACACAGGAGAGAAAGGAGTGCAGAACGTCAAAAGGCAGTTATAAAGGATCATTTATTACTACTGACTACAAAACGACTATTTAAAATCAATGCGTACGTAATGTAGGTCGCGCAAAGACTCGCAAATATAGATCCGCATCATCAGGGTCGAAGCGGGTCAGATTCAATGCGCGACATAGCGGACTTTTTGACTCCGAAAACGAATTGCCGTGCATGTTAAAACACGGCCGGCTTTGTGAGAGAAAGAAACAAGCGCTTCGTGTTTTCTTGCGTCTCGTAAATTTCAAGATTAACATCTCCCGGCTCGCGTTTTCCCTCGGTCATAAAAGTGACATTTTGTTGCTCGCACGAAAGAAAGTATAATATCAAGTTAGACGCGGAGAAGCGATACAAGTGTTACCGTATCAAGTGCTTATCTACACCTGTGTGAGCACGCCTTTCATTTAGCTAGCCACGCGAAAGTAAAGTCATTCGGAACGTAGATGTCTGGGTGATGTCTGATTTGTCGACTCGCGACTATCAATATCAAACAAATAACCTTAAGCAGAAAATATATTTAGCGAGCTAGTGAAAGTGCGCGAAGCGTTAAGTTTTCTTTTATATTCTGCAAAGCGAAGAAAGGAAATGCAGTTTAGATTATCTTCTGAGTCTCTTATTAAGCTCAAGAGAGAGAAAACAACGCAATTTATTTTATATGTGCGCAAAACACAAAGCAATCTCTCGGATTAGTAAAAACTATAGTTACAAGAGATACACAGTATGTACTTTTATTTTGCAAGATTTTTTTTTAATAATCCTATCGAAGGAAGTGCAGTGACTTAGTTAAGCATTCTAGTAATGACAAAAACTGCGTCAATTCCGTAACAATAACTTTTTTAACAACAAATATGTTTTATATGTTTTATATAAATCTTACACGTAATAGCACCACTGTTTACTGTTCTGTATTCTGGCGTCACTTTCAAACCAAATATTATCCCTTATTGTTCTTAGCACCGAAATTACCAATGTTCGCGGTTTTATTTTGCTTCTGTTGTGTCTGATCTGATTCGTAATACTGATAACTGTACGATCGAGACGCTTGAGGCGCGACTGAGGTGACGCTCTTGGTCTGATAAGAGACGACCGGCTGACTTTGATAACTTCCGTAGTTTTTTTCTTGCTTGTTGTCGGTCTGAGCGTAAGTGTCACCGTAATTTTGCGACGCGTCGTAACTGTCGTATCCGTCTGTCTGATCGACAGGTCGGTGATTGCTTAATCGACCGCGTGATTTATTGTTGTAGTTATTGGACGTCACATACGCCTGCGATACTGGCTTTCGAATAAAATGATCATTCGAGTACTTTGCATTTTTATTCGAGATACTTTGGGACGACGAATCTTGAATGGTCGCTTGTTCTCCGTGAATCTTGCCGGTTCCGTCGGTGTTTATTACGTAGGTTACATCGGGTTTGGTTCTCACGCTCGAAACGGGCACGTACGACAACGGTGTGTTCGAGTTGTAGACATTCTGACTAGCGTACGAATCGTCGTTGGAATCGTTTGACGTGTCCTTATTGCTTTCGTAAAGCTGAGTTGCTTGCTGTTGCGCATTTTGAGCTAATAACGTAGCCAACGTTTGACTCGTCAGTTGTTCCACCTGCTGAGCTTTGACGTATGAAGTAGGAAGTGGATAGTCAGGACCTACCGGCTGTCCGCCCACGCTGATCACCCTGTACGTTGTCTTCGGTAAGGGAAGACCCGGCAGGTTCTTCAGTTGGACGTCCTGCACGAGTTGATTGTAAGAATTGGGTATTTTATACGTGCTTGATTGTCCGTCGAGATCTCTTGAGCTGGAGGATATGTAGTTTCTGCCGTCTACGAACTGACCGATCGACGCTGTCTGATTTGTCTCGTCCTCCTTCGTTTTCTTGCTCTTCTTCTCTTTGTCATCCTCGGACTCAACGGAAGAATCTTGCGACGTCTCGTAATCGACACTTGGTTGCAATGGCGGTGGCGGCGGCGGTGGAAACGGAGCGGGATTGAAGTATCGAGGATAATAATAAGGCTGATAATAATAGTTTGGATACACCGGCGCTGAATACGCAGGATTTATCGTATATGGCGTGGGATATGAACTGTAAGCTGTATATGGCGAGGTGTCGTAGGCGTACGGATCATTGTTGAAATATGAGGGAGAGGGTGAACCGATTTTTGGATAAGTATTGGGAGTATAGGGATTTCTTTGGTTGCTGTAGCCGGAACTGTAGGAATCCTTGGCGTCCACTTTCGGTGCGTAAAGCTCTGACGTTAATTGCGAAGTGAATTGTCCTTCAGTGCCTCGTTTTATTAGTTTAGGACTGTAAGGATAAACCGGATAAATCGGTAGAAATGGCTCGTCGTTAGGATCCTTGATTTTTTTTTGTGGCTGCGCAAAAATTGTCGACGACAGCAAGCAGAGTAATATCTGTAATTACATATTTGTGATGTATTCTTATGTTTATAATAAAATATATAAAATAATATATGTAAACGATAGAAATTGTTACGAATTATATAAAAACAATTCTCTGAATTTCTTAAACACAAAAACATTCTTTAAAAACTTTTTTTATAATTAAAAAAATAATAAGATAAGAATGAGACATCGAGTTTAATTAATTCCTAAAAAGCTGGTAAAATTAAAACAGTTTTTTTTTTTTTTTATACAATTAAAATATTTTTTTTTTAATTAATGAATATTATTTTACCGACCAGTTGCTTCATTTTCGTTTTTCGCCGCCGAACGACCACAAGAATATGCTTCTTTTCACTGTTTAATCGCTATGTCATCCGATAGTACGTCGTGCGCCAGTAATTTTGCAGACCAAGCTGACGCGACGGTTCCACCTTTAATGACACTTCGACCGACATTGAATTTCTCCTTTATACCCGATCGCCGGAAAAATCACGGAAACTAGTTTAACATTTCTCTGCTCTTATATGTAGGTCTGTAAAGTGATAGTGTACTCCCCGACGTAGAGCAGTGAAAATACATAGAATGCCGTTCGATTGCTACCAAACGAACGGGGAACGTGATCTTCGCTATCATGTAGTGATGGTAATTGTCAGACTGTCATATGTTGTGATCGTAGAAGCAAAATTACAAAAACGCCCTTTGCATAATCATTAAGGAGATCGTTATTAAATGGTTGCGTCGACACGTCGAAGAAAATGATTGCAAATATATATTTGACAACGCGTAATTTTCGCGAAAGTCCGGCTTGGTAATTTTAAAAGTAACTGATTGGAGAACAAGGCGGTGGTCGTTTACAATCGATCGAGGAAGAGGAGCGCCCTCCGGCAACCTCGAAGGTCCTTTCCAATCTCGCTCGAATAACGCCTTTCGCAGAGACGTTCACATATCTTTGAAAACGTCGACTTTACTTTCACCCGCGCAGTCTCCCACTAACAAATTTTTACACAGACTACATGTGTACGTGATAATGACATGATGATTGATAGAATTCAGAGAGAGAGAGAGAGAGAGAAAGAGAAAAAAAGAGAAAAAAATAGAAAGACAGATAGCTTTATTTATAATGCGCTCTAAGAAAGTCTTAACGCAAAAGAAAAACAAAATAAAAAATACATAAAAAATTTTTCTAAAAACTAAAAATAAAACAAATAAACAAAAAGTAAGAGAGAAAAGAAAAAAGAAAAAAAATCACATGTACAGATTATTTAACCTTCTAATAACTAAAATATAAAGCTTAAAAAACGTTTTAAATCGTTAAAAACAGTTATTTATTTAGTTTTTATTTGTTTTGTTAACGTAGCAATTTTCATACAAGTATTCAAATTTTGTCGTCGACTTTTGCAGAGCTTTCATCTACTTTGTTCTGAAAAAAGAAAAAAAAGATTCGCGTTACGGATCGCTACGTCACGAAAGTGAATCTCACAGTTGTCCCAATCCGAGACGAGATGGACACTCGTAAGTCTGGGATCAAGTTACGGGTCCATGACGAGGTCCGGCCGGGGAAACGCCTCCTTCGTAAAGAGTAAGAGCGGACTTTTCCCGCTCTCGCCGCACCGGACGTGAGAGTGAAGCATGAGCGTGCAACTTGCAAAACCAGTCGGAAAATAGTGAAACGTGTGTTTTCTACATATACAAGATATGTACCGGTTGTGTGTCAGACTCAATGAGGAGGTGAGTATATCGGCTGGATATTGCACATCTCCGAGGGGATCCAAACCGGTCTGCGTGTTCGCACGTGCGTGCGTGCGGCTCTCTCGTGTTGTCGCGCTCGAGTGCGTGTTCGGGTACACACGAATCGCAAAAACTGGGTCAGATGCGCACGAGGAGCAACGCGCGATATCGGCGCGCGTCACTAAAATTTCTTTCTTACGTGGGCGTCCGGATATCTCCCGTTGTCATGTCATGTCGGAAAGTTGAATAAAAGTTGCTTGTTGTACGAACAATCAACGGCGAACGTTTTGCTCAAATAAAAAAAAAAGATAATGCCGTAATGATACAAACAAGTTAAATTAAAAATATATTAATGCAATAGAGACATCTAAAGATAAAGTAATATTTAACGCGTTATTATTGATTACACACAGTCACAATTTTACAACTTAATAACTTGTTAAATACATCTAATTTAAATAACATGAATATATAATATAAATCGAACACTCATTCAAACGGTGAAAGTTAATTTTCCAATTTATAATCGAATATTTTCAATGTTTGTGTGACACACTTAATTTTTTGTACTTTTATATGTAACATCAAAGAAAAAAAAATTATAAAAAAACTGCCGATTTCTACGTAAGTGACATTATTTTACACTTATCTGATAAGTAAGTCCGGATATTTCTGCTATAAGTGACTACTTTCGCGAATAAAGATTTAGAAAGGCATCTCTCTCTCTCTCACTCTCTTTCTATATATCTCATCTCGAAACTTCCGTCCCGTCCTTGGAATAAAAGTGATCTTGTTTTTACCCAATTGGGTGAACTTGCTTTTATTATTATATACCTCTTGTGCACCGTTATAAGCTGCGTGGCCAATAACTTTCACGGTAGCGCCGTAAGTAAAAGCAAAAGAGAAGCAAGCAGTACTGTCGCGTCACGTCGCGTCGCATCGTCGCTAGACACGTCAATTATTTTGTCAGGCAATGACATCCGTGTCAGAGCTATTCAAACGTCTTGTGATGCGCATGCTGTTATCCATCACGCGTCTGTCCAAACAATTACTTCAAACTCGCAAAACGCGGACACGAAAGTAAACCAGTACGTTCTTTCATTATTCAATTATAAATTTAATATTGCAATAATTGTAATTTAAAAAAAAAAGTCATCTTGATACTTTTACTTTTCCAATTTCTTTTGCTTTGATTTCTTTTGATCATCGTGCGTGTTCACTCTTCATCAAGAAACAAAAAAAAGTAGAGCGGAGAATCTTATTGCGTGTTTATTTACGTATAGCGCACAACTTATAATTAGTAATAATATTTTTTGCGAATCAATAAATGTTGATTTCCAGTCTCAGAGATTTGTGAGTTGCGTTCTAAATTAATTTTAGTCACTAAAGCTATTACAAGCGATCAGACTTAAAAATATAGGTTTGGTTTTTTGTGTGTTTGTATGTATTCAGATTTTTATTACAAAATATAAAACTAAACAACAAAAATCACAATTCTCTTCGTCAATACAAGGGATGTACAACAGAAATACTAAACCATCTCTATTTGTAACATAAATAGATAACGGCATTAAATACAATAAATCAGAATACAAAACAAAAGTAATATAAATTAAGTATAAATATATCAAAGCAACTCTTTCTGAATCCTGTGCCATTATATTATTTTTAACAGCGTGACATTCCGATCTAATTCTCGTATCGCAATCGGAATTATTTTTCATGGCAAGATTATAAGTCAGCATAGAATCAGATAAATACAATTATCTTAAGTTAAAAAATTTAAAATTTTTTTCACTCACAAGAAAACAAACAGCGATTATAATTCCTAAGCGGTTATCAGAGCAAATGTTTGATAAATGTTGATATTAGAAAACTCACAAATAAACTACAAAGTATATAAATTAAAAAAATAATAGCTGCTTAATATTTTCCGTTAGGACTCGAATACGAGATCGTGTCGTATTTTGTATTTCCGGAATCGGTGGAGTCGTACGATTTCGACGCGACGTATCCTAGATACCTCGGATTCACATTGGAATAAGCTCCGTGCTGCGATTCCGCAGACGTTCCGTAGGAACCGGAAGAACTCGAATATATAGGCGTGTAGCTTGAAGGCGCGGCGTAGGTCGCTGAGGGGCTGGAGTAACTGGAACTAGGACTCGCGTAATTCGAATAACCGGAACTGGAAGAAGTTGCGTAGCTAGAACCTGGAGCTACGCGCGTAACGCTTGGGCTAGAGTAGCTAGACTTGGGACTAGAGTAGCTGGAACTACTGGCGGATGAGTAGCTGGTGTCCGAATTCGGCAACACATACTTCCCAGACGAAGACCCGGAGCTCGAAGATCCCGAAGAGATCGGCAGTTCGTAGCTGTCGGATGATGCGCTCGGCAGTCCGTGAGAGCTGGAATCATAAGATCCTGAAGAAACAGGTCCAGAATAACTGGACGACGCGGAATTGGAAGATAACGCCGAGAGTCCGTGAGATCCAGAAGTTATTGGGAAAGAGTACGCAGAAGACGCTCCGTGCAAGCCTGAAGAACTGAGTGCAGAGATGCCGTGAGAAGATCCAGACACTGGAAGATTGTAGCTGGAGGGTCCGCCATGCGAGCTACCACTAGCGATAACTAAACCGCCCGTCACGTGTGAAGGACTCGAAGACAGAGACTGAGCGGGAAGACTGTAACTTGAAGATCCCGAAGAGTCCAACGATAGACCATACGGGGAGCCATGAGACGATCCCAACGTGACAGGAAAATTAACGCTTGAGTCTCCTCTATAAGCCGAAAGTCCAGGAGATGGCGGAGCGTACATCGGTGTGTACGAACTGGAAGTGCCGCCACTTCCGTGACTGCCGAAGGTGACGGGACCGGTTTTCGATGGAGTAAAAAGTCCGTTGCTTCCTCCGCCGCTTCCCAAACTGATGCTTGCCATAGCGGGCACGGCGTACGTGCTCTGAGCTGTGTGTCCACCCAAAGAGCCACCCTGAAGATTCAACAAGCCATGGCCCAGTCCAGACGAGTAGTAACCCGATCCAAGAGAACCAAAGCTGCTGGAGGGAGATAAAGAATATCCGATTCCTTGGCCGACGGAACCCAAGCTGTGAAGCCCGGCGTGTCCGAGGGAGAAACTGGATGATCCTCCTAGACTGTAACCGGAACCTAAGCTCGAGTGAATAGGAGCTGAGTAGGAAGAAGATCCATGCGACGAGTATGCCTGAGAGTTATCGTTGAGACCGCGCTTGTCCTTCAAGAGCACTCGAAGCTGACGCGGCAGATTTTCACCGCGAAAATCCCTGCCGCAAACGCCGCATACGAGTATCGCCAGCCCCAGAAACACCTACGCAGAGAAACATTAGAGTTACGATACTTCTTTGCCATCGTCACTTTCTAGGGTGGCCTACTTTCCTGAGCTTAATCGGTTTGTGTGAAAGTGGAATATGAGGCTGGCTCTATCTGAATTATAATTAGATTGCTTAACTTATAAATAGATAACTAAGAAAGATAATATATGATTAAATGTTTTTTGACTGAATACTTGCAAATATCAAGTTATAAATTAGCCAGATGTCGTAAATCATACCATTCTTTAGCTGATTCGATCGTGATTTAAATTATTATCAGTTTGTACTTATAATATATTCACTTATAATACATTCCTCAATTTGCTTCAAAGTATATGTATCAATATTGTACATAGCAATATTAATCACAGTTTACTTAGAATCTAGTTAAATTTGTATATAATATTAAATTTATTTACTAATTAAAACGGCTGTATGGGCGCATAATAAAAATGCAATTATAACAATCTGATCTAACGCAATAGATTATTTAAAAAATTTTCATATTAACATAACTTATTATACATTCTCTATGTAAATAAAAATACATATAAAAAACATAATATTATAATATAGATATGTAATATTAAATTGCGTAGCATAAAAACCACTAATATTAATAAACTAATATTCTCTAATCAGTTTAAAATCAATTTCTTCTTATCGCATACACGTACGTACACATGTTCACTTTAAACTTGAAAAAAAATAAATAAATAAAACTACTTCCGATAATTACAATATATAAATATAATTAAACAACAAAACACACTGGAAATTTATACGCTTGTTTTGCGTGTGATGTGTATATACTTACAATTGACTGCATGTTCACCGCAATGAGGGTTGCACTTTTAACTAGTTGTGGCACTGGTTGTGGCAGCCAAGTGGTTGAATGATGTTATGGTTTCTGGCATTGCTACCAAGAAGAAAGCCTTTATATGTAGATCCCCCCTCGCATGGCAAAAGAAAGGTCTAGGTGAAGGTAAGACTTCCCGCGCGCTGATGTACCGGGCGCTGCAGCGTCACATTGCCGGCGCCGAGCGTAGTCGAGAGTATGACGCGGGGGAGATACTCGCGCGTGGGTCTTGCAAATCAGGTCCTCCGCCTCTGGTAAAAGCGGTCCGAACCAGAATCGATTTTTATTCGATCGTGGATTTTCCATCGAAAACATCTTCTCGAGGAAGTCGAACAACTTCTGTCTGTAAACGAACACAACAAAGTCGATCGCGCGAATTACAATGCCGATCAAAAAGATTTATCGCCTCAGTCTCGCGGAAGTTTAAAACTCCGTCCTTGCTTCGTTTTCACACGGCGTTCCGAGAAAGTGTGCATGAAAGAAGGTCGTTCGCCTTTTATACCTCGCACAGGATATTATTAATTTAAGGTTCTTTTATTTCTTCCGGGTGTAAAGATATGTCTTTGTTTTACTAAGTTCATGGATTCGAGAAAATTGCAAGAGAACTTTGTACGGCGTATACATTGTATAAACGACTACGTCGTTTTTAATTGCCAGGTTCTCACGACGTGCTCGGCGACGTAAAATCACGACGATAAACATGTTATCGCGCCGGTAACACGCCGTTTCCACTTTGTAGAGTAATTTTATTGCTCGGTGCGATTAATCACCGCAGAGACAGATAAAAAAACGCACGTTTTCAAGAGAAAACGCGATTGTGTTTTCCCAATTCGCACAGGGGATTTCTAGTTTATTTTGTATTCTTTTCACTCTCAATTTGGACCCACGAGAGAAGTATCAGACTGCGACGACGAGGAAAGTCGACATCACGTGTCGCGAGTTAGACCGCAATTCTCATTTAAACGCATCGCCAAGACACGTGATAGCACGCATAAATCCAATTATTGCTAATTACGTGTGTGAGAGAAAGGTAAAACGATCACGTACACATAGATACACTAAAGATACATATATAATTACATATATATATATTCAAAGATTTCTTCTTCCGGTAATATACGAATTCACCCAAGTATATCCGGGTACGTTTCCGAGATATTTATTTTCTTTATAAGAAACGCTCCCCCTCTACACGCGCGCATTGAAAGCCGCTTTCTGGAACACTCACAAATTCCGTTTTCGCGGCTCACCTCAACGCGCCGGTAAAAAAAACGTTGTTAAGCGAACGTCGCGCGAAGAGAGTAACTTTGCTTATTCCACTTGTTTCTAGACAAATGTCTTTCTATTAAATTTTGAGCTACAATAGACTTCATTGCTTTGTACCGCAATATGCAAAAACCAGGCGTATCTAAGTGACAAATCCAAGCAAAAAAGAGAATTTATTAATTTCACTATACAACATTTCGATCGCAGAAAGTTAACAAATCACGGGCGTGCCTTTTGAATAAGACAAAAAAAATATTTTACATAAAAAGTGTTCTACACTTTTTATAAACGTTTTTGTAATGAATAAGAAACTGAATGTTTTTGTAGTCGGAAATTCAAACGACTCTTGCGTGAAAAACGTATTAAAAAAGTGTAAAGCAAATCTCTCATAGAACTATATGTTGAACTGTTTATATTTGTAGCTTTGTTTGTAAGCCGTAAACTCTTACATAAATTGTGGCGTGTACTGCAAGAGAAAGATATGATGCTCGCTAATAAACGTTCCCAGACGGAGCGCGAAAAGAAAGAGATGAAATTCCGCCACGCAAGGAAAATGACGTTTGAAAGTGAAATGCGCGCTCAGGAATGAATGAAAAAGCAACATCATGTCGTTTCTCGTTTTTGTGCTTTTTTGCATAGACAAACGTATCTCTCTATACCCGTACGCATAGAAACAAATGTGACTGTAAAAAGATAAACATGGCTATTCTCTCCAGAGAGATTCATATAATGATTCATAGCGATTCTCATCTAACTCCTTCCAACTTGCTAAATTGTAGCAGCTGAAAACACGAGTCGATTGACATTATTTTACTTTCACTCGCGAAGAAAGAGATCCCCGTGGCTGTCATTTGATTTAAGAAACTTGAACCGAAAACTTTTGAGATGACTGTAGTTTATTTTTGAGAAACCGAAAGCTCGCCGAGAGAAAAAGATACGACAAGTGTACGTACGTACACGTTTTCTGTGATATTTTTTATTAAAATGTTATTACGTTATCAATAATTAATTAGAAATATTGCAATATATCATGCTATGTCTATCTCAATTCGCGATGAAAACGATAGTTTCATTCATACCGACACACACGTTTTTACACATTGCGTATCTATGTGTAACACAGAATGTAAGATATTACCGCAGCTTTCGTGTGTGTGTGCTACGCGAATAATATACCTGTCATACGTTAACATCTTGATAAGAGTTAAGTATACGCGCATGTTTATTACACAACACGCACTAAAGCGAGACGCACGATATTCCGCAAATATTCTTTACGTCTTACTGAATGTGTGAGAATGTTTTGAAGACACACGCTATAGGTACTAATGTGACAAGTGAGCAAAGTGACGTACAATAAATTATTAAGTTGTCAGAACGTGTCGGAAAATTGATTCTTTATTTACACTTCACGTTATGACGTTTAATCCATATTAAATGACACGTATAGGTGAGAAAATGTGAGAAACACAACGTCGTGTTTGAATAAGGAAAAACTTCATTGGATGACAAGTAGGATTCGCGCGAGTTTCTCAAATAGAATTCTTTCATAAAGGGTTTTCTAAAAAGAAATTCCGACCGAACAAGTTTGGAGTATTATAGCGGTAAAAGTGCCTGCAGTGGAATAATACAGAAACCGAGCAGAGTGGAATATAGGTCACTTGCGGAAAGTGAGTTGACAACAGGTTTAATGCAACTCGAGCCAGGTCGACCGCGGGTCAAGCCTCGTTTTTGAGGTTTTGTGACTTTCCGCTCAATGTTTTGACCTTTCAAGTGTGACCTTTCGTTTCCAGAGCTGCAAACATCGCATTTTTTAACGGTGTGATTTTGTCACTTAAAAAACATGTTAAAGAAATTATTGATTAAAACTCTTTTTACACGCATAAATAAGAAACAAATTTCAATTGTGTGTATAATTTTTTCTAGGAATAAAAACAATTTACAAAAATACTTTTTTTTATCTCGACTACATATTTTAAAGTATCACATTATATATTTTCACGCGCGCGCGTGTATATATTTGTAACTCTCTCTCTCTCTCCTAAGTCTATAAATTTAATTATCTCTTCGAAAAATGTGTGTTCTACTTATTATATATGTAACATAAATAGACTCATAATAAAAAGTATTATATTCTTTTACGTTTTATTTTGTTTAAATACATTATTTTTTAACACTTAAGTAATTAAAGAAAACAGAAAATAAAGTTGAGAAGAAACTAAGGAATAAATGAGCAAATTTCACTAATATGAATTAATACGCGTTCTTATTTGATTACGGATAGCGTTTCGAATTGTATAAATCTCGCTTCGTGAATCAGATTAACACATACGGCACGTGTCTTTCCTGGTAAGAACAAAACGAAAGATTACGAAATCGACCAGGAATAGTACACTTGCATACGGTGCGATATGTTATGCATGCTTAGGATTGCTCGAATAACCCGACCGCGTTGACCGTGGTTAGAATTATCGAACGACTTTCGAGGTCAGGATCGAGCGGCGTAGCGAATGGATCATGCGGTCACGAACAGTGGTCATGACAACGAGTGAGAGTCTCTTTGTATAGATCTGGAGCCGGAAGTAGCTATAATCTATTTTCTCGGACTCAACTTTCCATTGCGATCGTATGGGATACGTACCGCGGCTTGAATATGATCGACACTATATGTGTATTTTCAATACTACAAGTTCAGTATCAGGATACGTAAAAAAAAAAAATCGTCTCTTATAGTATAAAAATATTTATTTGTTAAAATAAATATACAAAAATATATTTTTTATTTACATTAAAGAACAAATTCCATAACACGATCCGCTAGCTTTGCTTTACACCCTTCTGCGCAAATTTTGCGCGAAATACACGAATGTATATCTTGATAGGAATAAAAAATAAAAAACTGTGTCTGGAAAAACAAGAATTTTAAGAATAATGTTTTCAAACATGCAAAATGTTTGTGTCACACATGACCGACAATTAATTTTAAAAATACAACAAATTTAACAAAACAACTGCGCTTATTATAATATGCTTGTTGTTATCTTGTCAAATTGCAATAACAAATAATATGCAATAACAGACAGAAAATGCAACAAATGCTTGACACAATTAAATAATTGGTGTAATTTTTTTAATTGCATCAGACAAATATTAGTAGTATAAATGCCGCAAAATAAACTTATTATTCATGATATTAGCTGCAATAAAAAAACCATAACTTAGAAAACTGATTTTGCATGGTGTTTTTCACAAGTTAATTGTATTTAATTTTTCTATGATATATATACATATATATGATGTACGAGAAAGTGGAGTTAGATTCTAAATGCTCATACACGACCTATATAATATAAATTCAAAAATATGAAAATATTTTAATTATGTAATTATTGTTTAATTAAATAATTAACTATATACAACAATCTTATTCACATAAAATCAAAATTTTTAAAACTCTTTAATAAAAAAGTTGCCTATCTGTTGTTTACTTAATTAATGTTACGTATAAAACTATCCAAATCTTTTATATGTATTTATAAGAAATATGTGTAAAAAGAACGATTTTTGTTACGACGACAGCGAAAGTTTTTCACCCCATTAGAAACAAATAAAACTTGACACTGAAACGATAGAATTGCGGAGCGCAGCTCTTTTTATCTCGGCTCTTAAAATTCTCTTGTACCGAAAAAAGAAAATGAAATTGTTTACGTGAAAAAAGTAAATAAGCAATGTGGCACAGCATCGTTAGCGCATCAAAAATCACGCGACTGCAATAGTTACTTTCCTCTTACTATACTTTCTTCTTCAATCTTTCCCTCTCTCTTTTCCGCGCGGGTAAACAGGCAGTCTCGATAGTCGCAATGCGACTTGCGATCTATTTGCGAAAAAAGAAAAAGAATGAGGACACTTCATTTCCATATTTGCGCTGGTTTCGTTTGCGCATAAGAAGGCGCGTAACTCCACGGGTTACTCGACAAGGCGGGCTTTTGCAGTTGATGCGCGATGTCGGTATAGTAGTACACTGGATAGACCGCTTTTACCGGTTTGTAGAGAACGGGATTGATCAGCGGGGTCTGCACGCCGTATGTGTGTTGCACGCTGGACGATACTGCTGGGGCAGCTTGCACCGGATATACCTGAGCGGGATTCGCCGGTAGCACGGGATGCAAAGCAATCGGGTGCACTGGTGTCGCGAGAGGATGCAGAGGGGCAGCAACAGGTCGTACTGGCAGAGCTATCGGTGTAATCGCCGGCGTCAAAGCGACTCCGGGTAATTGGGGTTGATTTGATGAAGTAGGCGACGGTGTTGTTGCCGCGGGGGTTGACGGTATTGATCCGTATACTGGTTTCTGAGGTGGTTTCGTGGGAATTGGTATACCAAAATGAGTAGGCGACGAGCCAGAAGATTGCACGGGTTTTATAGGTCCAGACGCGAAAAAACTGGTGCTGTAACTAGGAACTAAGTTGGTACCCGTGATGAAGCTTGGCACAAATCCACCATAAACAGGAATTCCCACGGGTGATACAGCCGTAGGCGATGCGGGTTGATTAGGAGCGGGTTGCGATGATGTTACTTGAGTGGTACCGTCGCCTTTGGATGATTGTGATGGGTGAGTAGTCGGCACTTCAGCTGCTGTTGTCGTTGTCGTAATTGGTGTTTGCGCGGTAGTCGGAATCCCGTAACTAAGAGGAAATCCCAACGGATTGACTGTGGTTCCTGGCAGAAAAGGAGACTGAGTGAAAACAGTACTTCCGGATCCAAAAGTTTGCGGAGTTGTAGGAACGTTCGTTTTTATTTGCTGATTTATGGAAGCCAAAAGATCTTGATTTTGAATAAAACCTGCTTCGTTGTGAGCGTACCTTCCTGCCGCATCCGTGCTCGGGGTAGTCTGAGCTTCAGCCAAGGCCTGCTGCAGCTGCACAATTAATCGATCCTTTTCCAGAGATTGAACTTGCTCCAGAGTTTCTTGAGAATTGATAGTTCCCGATGCGTACGAGGGCAACGCACTTCGGAATCCTTGAGGACTCTGAGAGGCGCTCTCGAATTTTCCAAATTGACTATTTGAGTTCTGATTATCGATACCCGAAAATTGATCGTTGCCGGGTGCAAAATCTTGATTGCTCGCAGGTGCGCCATAAAGTTGCTGAATCGCGTGTGCATTTTCGGACAGAAAAAGTGCGGCGTCGGAAATATGTTGATTCTGGGGCTGGACGAAATTCTGGTTCTGCAAGCTCGTATCTTCGAATTGTCCGTGACCTAGGGAATTCTGCGGTGAGTGCGATTGCGGTGTAAAATTGTCCGTCGAGGAGTAAGCTGGTAGTTTCTGATTTTGCGGCGGTAAGTAATTGGCTGTATGCATGCCGAACGGCTCGTTATTCTGACTGGCGATCGGATTCGCTTCCGCGAAATCGACGTTTCTAATCGGACTCGGAACTTCCTGCTCCCCCAACTCGTCATTGTAACCGATCGGTTGTTGTTGATGCACGTGATGTTGCAATTTGTTTCGGTGTTGTTGAGCATGATATCTATGTGCAGTCGGACCGGAAGTTGAGTGACTCGGGAGTCCGTATTTTGTAAACGGTTTGCCTAATTGACCAGAAAGTTTAGATGTGACTTGACCTCTAGATTGATGCGCTTGTATGCGAATCCGAGAAGTGACACGGTTTGGTCTGTTGTAGGCATATCCGGAATCTCGTTTCCGTTGAACATCGGGTAACTCAGAATCGGAGTCGACATCAGCTTCACCGAGATTTACAACTTCCAGTTTTGTGACTTCTGGCTTTTCAATTGCGGTTTTCTGCTCGGCTCGAGTCAGCGAAAGCCCCAATGTGACAATACAAACAATCTAAAAGTCAAATAAATTTCTTTATACACCAATACTCTAAAAAAATTTTAAAAATATTTAAAATAACTAACATAATAAAACATATGTTACTTTTAAAATTATAAAAATAAAATAAGTATATTATTTAATGTTTATATATATATAGTAAATTAATTAAGAACGTAAAAATTAATGATCTCTTAAATATCTTTCTATTATTTTTTGAATCTTGTATTCTTTTATAGCGTTTATAAATACCGTTATTATAGCAATAAAATGTTTCAAATACTATAATATCAAATACAATATTAAATTTTTATGACTGGGCACTCACCAGAACGCGTTGCATTTTTGTAATCCTTATTTCACTTATAACACTGCACTAAAAGAATATAATCGATTTAGCTCAACAGGAAACTGCGCTATTTCCCACGAGGTCTCGACATTGAATTAGACGCGAACCAAGAAGCTAATTTGTTCGAGGATGGACAATCCTCAACGACTAAGACCACAGCTATACTTGCACATGTATAAATACAATCGGGTCGCGACCATCCACGAATTACAATAGACTTTCTTACCGGCTTTCATCGATCAAACTTAAGCAATACTGTTACGGATTCGTGATGTTATACATATCGATGCAAAGTACATCGTATATTCGGAGCGGTCTTGCCACTTGAAATTTCGCGGCTATACTTCCCGAAAATTTGTTATTCTCGATTACTTACTGTGAAGCAACAACGGGTCAACAAAATGCGAATAAATTTTTCTCAAGCACAGAATTACTTTGAAATCTCATATAAAGAAACTTGATCTTACATATAGTATTTTATATAAATATCATATGCTATATATTTTTTTTTAAATAACAATCGTGCACAATCGTGTATTCTTTAAGAAAGATGTTTAAATCTTATAAGAAAACACGCTCTTCGAATAAATCGATAACATCGAGTATAATTTATACTGTTTACAGCACTCAAAAATAAAAGCATTCCAATAACAAATCTCTACAACGCAATATTCTGACCGAAGAAAAAATTATATTGAAGAGTATCTCGAAATAAATTCGTGGAGACCAAATTCCATTAGTCGCGAATTTCATTAGTCGCGAATTTCATTAGTCGCCAATAAAAAGCAAAGAGATATTTAAAATTATAATGTTTGCTCTTAGTGTAATGTGCGACTCTTCGAGATGAGTCGCGTTTTGTTGTGACGAAGAAAAGTTCATAAATCTGTCACCGGCAAAAATACATGTGTAAGAACATATAAATAATCAAACCTTAGATTTATCATTCCGTCACCTTTTGTCATTCGTAAATTACGTTCTCAGTACAGAATGTAAAACGACAAGAGGAAACTAAGTGTTGTCGTGAACTTCCGACGAAGATGTTACATCTTTGCGTGAAACGCAAAGGACTCCTTCGTGATGGCATTCTCGTCACGACCATCCGTCTTCTCATCATGTGTCCAGTGAAAGTTTCCGGCGAGTAAAATCTCTCGGATCACAGAGAATACGGAATAAGCGTTCGTTCGTAGGAATATATTTGTATTGTGTGATGTAAGATTACGCGCAAATCAAACGCATGCAAAACGCGCCCAACGTGTTGATTCCGACGCCTCTTGAAGTATTCCGGACACCGCTTGCGGTGTTATGCGGATTCAAGTGTAGCATCGCGAATAAAAAATTTTACCTACTGAAATTTACATACTTTGTTTAAGCAATCTTAACCCAACCTAAAAACTTGCACAGTATTTGTTCTATATATCGCATCAATGTGAAATTACCTAATCTAGAAGAAGAAATAAAAATATAAAATAAATAATATATTTAAAGTTATAATTTATAATATTAACTTTGTGCTTTAGGTCGCAAAATTAATTATACACATAGTTGATATATACGTACACACATAAAATTTAAAACGTTTTACAAAACATAATTTATCTCCTAGCTATAAGCGCGATGATTTTGTAGCACATTTGATGTGATTTCTGAAGGTTGACAACAGCAAAAATGTGTAAAACCAGAAATCAAATTGGGTGACGAGAGACGGCCACACGTCCTTCTTCAGTCAGAACTTATAAATAGTCACATTTGAAAGTCAAAATGTGGTTTTAATTATACAGTAAATAACGCAAGATACGTGTGGAACATAAATCGCAGTGCTTACGTTTTTACGACAACGTTTGTCAGTTATTGATAAATTTTTATTTTTGTTTCAATTTATGACAAACATACATCTATAATATATATTTTTGTAATAATAATTTTATGGTATAGTTTGTTTTATATCGTTTTATAATGATATCAGTCACTTCCGTTAGACTTTTTTGTATCACGCTTGAAAATCCACTGTGCAATCCATGTTATGCTTTTAAATTCTTTTTGAGTTGCTAAAGCAAAAAAGTTTTAAGCCTCTGGGTTCAAAGAGTTTAACATGAAAAACACAAGTGCATGCAACAAACTCGCTGTTAACCAGATTTGAAAATCATGTTTGCGCATCGAATATATGTACGTATGTACATATGTTATCCGCTGCGATATAAATTACATTCTAATTAATGCACTCATTAAAATTTGCAATACTTTTCTATTAATTATCTATTCCAATCGCCATAGAATAATTACGTGGCTAAATATATGTCTTGTGTAAAATGAATCAAATAAAGTCTCAGTAATAAATCCTTCGGTTGAGTAAAACCACTATGTGTTTTACAAATGTGTAATATTTCAGGATTAACGTACTGAAATATAATATATATATATATAATATATATATATATATATATTCACTACATTGGAGCATAATCACTCATAATAGTTTGCAGATATTCGGAGTACACGCATTATATTTTGGATATTTAGTTATTACCTTACCAGAGAAATAAAGAAGAGATTAACAATTTATTAATAATAAAATTTTATACACGTATGTACGTATTATATATTACACACACACACACACATGTACATGTAAATGTAAATGTACATGTTCATGTAAATTATATAGTATGTATATACGTACATATATTTTTTTTAATAAAAATGTTCATTATTTTGACGGACCAATATTTCAGAATTTTAAAGGTGTGTAAAGACTGTATTTAGAGACAGAAAAGATAAAATTCACACAAAAAATTCACACATTCTGTTCATATACATTTATAATATTTTATTTGTTATAAAAAATACATATAGCTATTTATAGCCAAGTAAGATCAAGTTTTGAAATTACATTATGTAAAAGCGCAATTTAAACAAAATGCCTCTTTTCATGTCTTCAAAATGTATCCTCTAAAAAAATAAAATTTTTCTTCTTAATCGCAGTTTGTCGTGGAATCCAATTTTGTATCTTAATGATAGAGATAAGGAGAACGTTGATAAGGGTAGGCAGAATAGGCATAGGGAGAGTACGAGCCGTATGGCACTCCGTATCCGTAAGCGGAGTATGGCGAGTAGGCACTATAGGCATATGGCGAGTAGGCACCATAGGCATATGGCGAGTAGCCACTATAAGCGTATGGTGAGTAACCATAAGCATCGAGGCCCCTCTTGGCCTTAGTTTCGGTCGGTTGAGCTTCCTTCGGGGATTCCTTTTCCGCCGCCATGGCAACGGCGAAGAGGGCCACAAGAAGAACAGCCTGAAAGATACATTAGTTTACTGATTAATTAAATTGCTATCAATGTTTCTCTCAATTTCGCGCATAAATCGAAAATAAAGTTTCCGTTTGATTTCTGAGAAGTACACTTGTGATATTGAAGATGTTAACGATTTTATACAGAATTACGTGTGGAAGAGAGAAAAATAAATAAAAAATTCAAAATGTTTATAATTACTTATAATATATTTGCTAAGTGATGCAGATAAAAATTAAGACGAATGCGCTTAATTAGGTTAAAAATCGATGAGAACTCTAACTATATGAGAAATTACCAGAAGCAATGCTAATAAAAAAAGATACGTAGCAAATTTCCTTTAATATGGACAATTCAGTGTTTCACATTCATTGGATGAACAGCAAATATCGAAATAAGATTTCACGGAAATGCGAGATGGCGAGGTAAAATCACAACCTGCGTTAATTAGCTATTATCAGTAACCTGTGAGAGCAGGAATATATTACACAGTGCAATCATGAGTACCACAACTTGATCGAAGCAGGAACGCGCAGCTGATCAAGCCGGTCGATTTACAGATAATAATGGTAATATAGTAATTAGCCTACTCGGCGAAACATGATATCAGTGAGAGAGTTTTCAGTAAAAATTTATCAGAATTTTACATGCGATGCGCGAGTGCGCATATTCGGTAGATTATCAACACAATCACAATTTGCCAATTCACTGATACCTTAACAGCAAAAAGGCGGAAGATACTGAAGAAGATATTATTAAAATCTAGTCGGTACTTACGGTAAAGCACTTCATGATTGCTTGATGAGTAGATCAGCTTCTGATGAACAGTAACTGAATGATGGTTCTGCTTTTCGGCGGATTGGTTTATATACCCGAAGATCCGATCGTTTTGTACGTGTCAGTAATCGAGCGACCAATGTATAAGCACACGCAGTTTGTGTGTATGCGTGTTCTGCGAATGTTCAAAACGGGGTGGTTCTACAAAGCGATATATTGTTTACGCATTCTCATACATAATTCGCGGGCGTGTTCGGTCATCTTCGTCGTCGTAAACCCCAGTCCGCCAATCACGTTCGCGTGTTCGGAGATGTGCCCATGTAACTTGAATTGATGGAACTCGGGTGAGGCAAGAGACCTTGGCGATCAGCCAACTACAGAGGAAAGTGTTTTATAACGATGACTTAATTAAATCGCGAATGTGAAGTAATAATTATGTCAGTATATATTACCCATCACTGTAAGTTTTGTAAAGAATTTATTTGATATAAAAAGTGTAAAGTTATGTTTTTTAATTTCTACTTGTATTCGTATGTATCTATATCTATCATTAATTTGTTTTGCACAAGAAATTGTTTGAACAATGTAAGGAATGTGTAAGGAATGTGTTACTGTTTAAAACTGATTATTAATGTTTCTTAATCAATGTATAAATCTTTGATTAATGTGTAATCACGTTCTGTTTATTATTACTCTAGCACGTTCGATCTTATAAATCATGTTCCGTTTACCGTTGCTCGCACGTACATCTTGTAACGCTAAGCAGATAACTATGAACAATTGTAATTAATCACATTACGCGTATACATATTTGTTCCAATATATCGATAAATATCGCAGTGCGATTTTGATGTCGCAAATATTCACGTTTAGTATTTATAGCATGTTTAACTGACAATATAAATTGTTGAATAGCAAAGAATATATATTACTTCATAAAATATACTAAAACCACACACTCACACACAAGAATTAGTTAATATTCTTTACACATATTTACATAAATAGTTTGTTTTTATTTAAATATAAATTTATATAGCTTTCAACGAGGATTGTTTGTTTTTTATAATAAAAAACAATAAAAATGGTTGAATATATAATTAAGATGCTAATTTAATTATAAATCAGTCACGAATAAGAATGTATAATATAGCAATTAGTTTAGAAACCTGTTCAGTCTAGAAAGGATTGAAAAATGTCTGTCACAAAAGATCAAGGATACTTTTTAGAGTATACGAATCAGAATCACATACATTATTCTTAATTATACTTACTTAACTTCATAGTTATAATGCTGTAAAAAGTATTTATAATATATTTCTGATCTGATAATATCATAAGTTAGAATCTTGAAAAATCAAAGTTTTGGTATTAAAAAACTAAAATAATATACCGATTTGAGTGTGTGTGTGCACTTGTGTATAGTATGAAAGATTCTAATAAATTTTTGTTGAAAACTCTTGTTGACATCATGCGTAAAAAATTATATTACGTTTCATAAAAATTGCAATTGTATACCTATATAATTTTATCACCTAAGTGGCATAATAAGCACTTTATTATCTTTATTATTGTTTCTATGTCTATATAAAAAGACAAACAGTTTATAATTTAAATCATGTATATCTGATTATTTTCACGCTTTTGTATTACATGTGACATATAGCACTCATTTGCAAAATAAAAAATTTACATGCGTAAAATAACAAGATGTCAACATAGTGTAATCTGAAAATTCGTAATATAAATTAACATCTAATATTTTTCATTCTTTTGTTTTTTGTGATATTTTTACTTTTTATCACGTATATAAATTTATTAATAAATTTGTAATTTGTAATAATTATTTAATTTATTTATTAAAACTAAATACTAATTTTATAGAAAGAGAAATGACTTGCAACATTCAGAATAGTTCTAATTAAAAGAAGTTAAATCATTCTATCTGCTTCATTAATAAACAATACAATCTGCCGATCAGAAATATTGACGGTTATACTTTCAAAACCTACTTTCATGACCAGCACAAGATTTTATTTCAACGTCGACGTGACAACCGTTCTTAATGTAGTTTGATCAAAATTGTGAAAATATTAAATGGCATACTCGAACAACTGATGTACGTAGCGATGCGAGAATTCCCTCTTCTCCTATATCAGATATATTAAAATATATAATTTTTTTATTTTTATATTATCATAGTATAGAGATAAGATTAGCATTAATGAGAGATTTATTGAAATCTATATGAATACATAGCATCGCTCACATATTGGAAATAGAAAGCCATAGAAAGGAAGTTGAAAATGTGAAATGCATTCTCTGATTTTAATCATTAGAAGTTCAGTGTCACAAAGTAAATATCGTTTATTTCAGTCTTTTATTTTTGAAAAAAAGAAGTTTTACAAAGAATTTATAACATTTACTTTTACCTTCTACAAAAATGACACACGTAGAAATTTCATCTCACTTATAAATCTATTTTGTAAATTTGTAATTTTCTATTAAAAAAAATAATTTTAAAATATAAAAACCGACAAATATTAATTTTGCTTTAAAATCTTTTATATCACATTCATCAATTATACGTTTTTCGAAAAATAAGTCTTTTATTTCAAACAAAGTATTCGAAAGTATAAATCTACTTTCAGAAGATTGCGTCAGTTCGATGTGTCCTTCATTTTAAGGTAAACTAGTTATAAGAATATCATAAATTCGGAAACTAGTATATTAGAAGCATATTTTTAAATATATAATTTGTTCTAGATGATAAAGTCACGAAATGCAGTCGTGCGTGCGTATTTCACTACCTACGTATACGTACGTATATGAAAGATAGAGAATGAGAATCGAAAACTCAGTTCTGACCCGACAAGAATACAGATTTGACCGCGTACTAGCGATATGCAAATCATACGATATACGTACGTCATATATCAGAATAACTGAAATAACGTGTCCCTTATATCTAAGATTTATTATAGGGAAAAGTGGCAGGGAGTAAATGAAATAAATATATAAACATTTTATATACTTCAAAAACATTTATTGTAATTTATAAGTACTTCTCGAAACATGCGATTCCATAAATGTTCACACGCTTTACTATATTCTGACAAAGTATTAGTAAAAAAAAAATGTTCTTAGCTTTAAGGCTTTTACATTGACCGGAGCAACACTTCAAATCAAAATATTTTTCTGCTGTTTTACGATTTTGAAATGTTAACATTACAAACATTAATAATTACAAAACGTCATGTAACATAGACTTGACTTTTTTTTCGGCTCGCAGGTCCCAATCCGCTCATCTGCCAATCTGCGACATGGCATTATTATTATTTACGAGATGCCCATAACCAAACATGTTCGATACTCCATTTTACTTCAAGAAAAACGCTGCTGTCGAAATGATTTGTTCTGCGTATGATGACGTCATAACGCCTGCATATGATGACGTTGTAACGTAACGTAAAAATTGATATAAAAAATTTTCGTGAGATTTTGATCTGAAAGATCATTCTGGATGAATATAGTCCCAAGGAGAGAACGTAAACTTGACTGTACCCTGTGTCAATAATATAATTCATGATTTACAATGCTATAAAATTCTATGTAAA